TTTTTTTTTTTTTTTTTTTTTTAATAAAGTCCATCCTTACATTAGGTTTACTAGATCAATTTTTGGGGTTTGTTTTTCTGTTTCTTTGTAAATTGTAATGCCTTGCAGTGTGCTGTCTGCTGTGTGAGCATTCAGTTGCTCTTCTGTCCGCCTGACTGCCAGCACGCAGTGAGTGACCACACGTGCTCGGTGGCGTAGTGAGTGGGCCCAGGCGGATGCCTGCATAAAATGCAGGCTTTTTTGCATTTTCATACTCGGTTGCTATGCCAACCTGGGGCCTAAATATGTAATTCTCAGTACAGATGTTAAAACTGTACTTTTGTGATTGGATAAACTGATTTTCCTGACTTGGTGTTTCTGAGGTTACTAAAATTGTGTAGAGCTGATCTTGGTTTTTTGGGTTTTTTTTAAACAGGGTCTCACTATGTGTAGTTCAGACTGCTCTGGAACTCACTGTGTAGCCCAGGCTGGTCTCAAACTCTTAGTGATCCTCCTGCCTCAGCCTCCCGAGTATTGGGACTATAGGCATGCACCACCACGCCCAGCTTTTTTTTTTTTAACTTTTTTATTTTTGGTACCACTTGTGAGCCGGGCAACAGTGCCACTGAGCTAAATCCCCAGTCCAATCAAGTTTCTTAATCTTACTCTGGGAATATTGCCCTGGAGATATTTATTACAAAAACTCTGCATAGCAAAAATGCAGCTTGTAATCAAGAGATGAGCTTCAGAATCTGTCTCTCACTTAAGTTGCTGAATTGCCAGGCTGGGCTTGGGCTTGGAATCCTCCTGCCTGTCTCCCAGGGTGCTAGGATTGCAGGCATGTGCTACCACACGTGGCCTGGATGCTGTCTTTTTTCATGTGAGATACTTACTAGTCCCTAGATGCATGGAATTAGCAACTCACCAGGCTACAGAGGCCTGCAGGGTTTAAATACTGCAGATAAAAAGACTGTGCATGAAGTCTGGAAGATCTGTACTTGTGACTTGGGAACCTTGGGTGATTGGCTGCTGGCTGAGGTTGACTGCTGTGAACCAGTACCTGATCTCAGTCCTAGGCCTAACCTGAAGAGAACTAGAAAAGCGTGTCTTTCCTCTTCCCCCACATTGGTGCTGAGGGTGAAGCTCCTGTCTGCACTCTTGCAGCTGAATAAGGTTTTGCTGAGTGTGGTGGCGCATGCCTGTGATCCCAGCACTTGGGAGGCTGAGGAAGGAGGCTTGCAAATTAGATCCAGCCTGGGCAACCTGAGACCCTGTCTCAAAAAATAAGGGGCTAGGGATGCAGCTCAGTGTGGAGTCCCTGAATTCCTCTCCAGGGCCTCAGGAAGGCAAAAAGCACAACAGAAGGCCAATCTGACTCAAGACAGGCACAGAGGAAGCAGAGCTGGGCCTCTGCCGGGGTTGGGTGGGGACTCCTGGTCACACAGAGCTGCTACCTTCGCAAACTCTGCCTCGATCTCTGACCCTGCCTGGAGGGCCGGCAGTTGACTGGTGGGGCTGGTCGAGGTCACAGGTGTTGGGCTCACCTTCAGGGGTTTACAGCTTCATGAAAACATAACCTGCCAGCGGAACTGCTCATTCCAGTCCAGCGGGTCATGATGGTGCACCCTGCTTCAGTGGCCACTGTGCTCAGCAATAGGCAGTTCGTGGGAGCCACGGCAGCCGTTAGGCTCACAAGACGACCAGTGCACACTGCGGTGGGCCTACACAACCTGAGAAGCCCGTACAGCGTGTTGTGGAGACCCCTGGCCAGGTGGAGCAGGCCAGGTTCTGGGCTGTCCCCATGCTGGCTGCCTCACACCCTCTGAAGGCAGAGGGGACAGTGTCCTTGCAGCACACCCAGCACCAGAGGCCAGGCGGGAGGCCACTAACCAGGGTCAGCAGAGCCAGCTGCCAGCCCAGATGGCCAGATGGGGGCCATACTGTCCCTGTGGTTTGCAACCACCACAATTCAGAGCCTTGTGCCTCAGGACCAGCAGCCCCAGAACTGCAGGGAGCCGTGAGGAGGGAGCCCAGCAAAAGCAAACCCAGGCCTGGGTGGAGGCTGAGTCAGCTCACACCCTCCAACCCCGCCAGCCTATCTGCTGAGAGGACTGATGTCTAGAAGGAACTTAAACTCAACATGAAAACAAGCAACCGATCAGAATCAGGCAAAGGAAGTGAATACACCTCTCAGAAGTATAGGTGGCCAGGGAGGACATGAAGATGAACTTCAGACACTGGAGATTCTTATTCTAGTCTGAATGGCTATCAAGAACACAAAAAAATCAACAAATGTCAGCAAGCTTATGGTGCGAAAACTCTCCTCGTGGGTGAGCTTAAAATGGTACAACCAGTGTGGTCATTCCTCAAAAACCTCCCACTACAAATCCCACTTTAGTGGCTGTACCTGCCCCTGGCATTTCCCATTTACAGACATCACACGACTTCTGACCCTCACACACTCACGTTACAGCTGCATGGTTCACACAGCTCACTTGTGCAAGTCCAGAGGTGTTTAACAGCACATGATGGAGTACTACACGCAGCCAAGGATTAACTTGTCACGTAGGAAAGTGGATCTTGAGGATGTACTGACGTCAACATGTACAGAACGAGTCTGATGCCGGTCAAATATTGGTTTCTCTTTTATGAAAAACCAAAAGTAAAAGGAAATGAGGCTTTTTTTTTTCTTTTTTTTTTAAGATGGGGACTGGGATGCTCACTTTGGCAGCACATACACTAAAATTGAAAGATGGAAACTAGGATGAGGGCAACAGGAAGAAACTCAAAACAATTAAGAAAACACAGGCGTATCAATTCCCTAAAACTTAACACCAGCGAACACACCCAAACCACAATGTGACTGTTGGCTACTGTTCTGGTCCCACAGGGTGGACGACAGGTGGAAGCAGGCGAAAGCTGTCCTGGCTTGTCACTTGGTGACCCAGGTGCCCTGCCCTTCTCAGTCCTGAATGAACCCTAGAAGTGGCCTGCAGAGCCATGCAGCAGCACAGAACACAGCCTTGGCTGGTATTCCTATTCCCTCAGTCCTGGGGGACGGAATCCAGTCGTTCTGGAGCTGCAGCCCCAGCCCTCTTGGATCTTTTGAGACAGGACTTCCCAATTCTTAAGTTGCCCAGGCTGGGCTGGAATTTGGGGGATCAAACTCGGGACACCTTGCACTTGTGAGGCAGGTAGCGACACCACTGAGCTACATTCCCAGCCTTTTGGTATTTTGAAACAAGGTCTCATTTTGTAGTTCATGCCAAACTCACAGCAACCCTCTGGCCTCAACCTCCAGAGTGCTGGGTAGGCTGGAATTTATTATCCTCCTTCCTCAACCTCCCATAGGGCTGGCTGGCTGCACTACCAAGCCCATCTTCCTTTTATCTGGTCCCCATAACTGGTTTCTAATAACTCCAGAAGGTAGACCTAGGTCCCAATTTTTAATCCCCTAAAATTTCCAGATTTGAGGATCAGGACAAGTTCAAGGCCAGTGTGAACCATATAGTGAGACCTTGTCTTAAAGCCAAAAGAAAAAAATTGAAAACCCAAGACAGCGTCCAAATCGTATAAACCCCAAAAGAAACAAAAATAGTCCCAAAGATTGTAGACTCATATAAATTTTATTAAGCAGTTTATTCTGAATAAATCATTTTATAATTGCTGAAAGACATTATTACTTAGCTCTAGGTTCTTAAATTATCCAAACAAACAGCAATACAAAAATGTAAGAAATTTACAAAGCTGTATGAAATAATTTACTATTTAAAACTAGACTGATACAGTCTGTTGTACCTCTCCAAGAGAACTATACAATTACATACTTAGGAAATTTTCTTCAGGGGGCAAAAGAAAGGATGCTTTAAGGCTTCTTTCAGAGTGATTCTTTTCGCTGGATCATACTCCAACATCTTCTGAATGAGGTCAAAGAGAAGCTCATGTTCAGCATCCTGAGAAAGCATAAATTCCTGGAATGGTGAAAAAAAAAAAAAATCAAGCTTTTCTTCCTATGATACATACAGGCAGGAGGTAGGCAGAGCTGGTCGAGGTCACTGGTGCTACACTCACCTTCAGGGGTTTACAGCGTCGCGAGACATATCTGCCAGCCGAACTGTGCTCATCCCAGTCCAACCGGTCATGATGGAAATATTTACGTTTCCTAAAAACAAGTCACCATCCATTTATGGTAATAACATCAACAGCAAAAACATAAGAACACATAACCAAGTGGCAGAAAGGACAGTATTACGGCTCGAGTAAATCTTACCTGGTTTTCTGTATCATATGTTTTGGCAAAGGTCCAAGAATCCTTTCCATCATTGCTAAATGCTCCTTACTATCATGTGTCTAAAATAAAAACAGAGTTTTAAAATCTGGTAACATAGTGTACATCATTCTCATCTAATTCAGATTAGCCGACAAGGAAATCTATTTGAGCCTGAATAATACGACGTAAACATATACTACAACTTCTTATCTATTGTAACGAGAAAGAAATGCTACATAAATGTTGGTATGCGAGTCACAGCACTCGTCCACATCACAGAGACAGACGGCTGCCACTTACTGGAAACACTGTAAACCCCAGGTAGTACTCGATGAGAATGCACCCGATGCTCCAGACATCACATGGCTGTGACCACCCTAGGGCTGCAAAGCAAAGCACAAGTCAGGGAGAAAGTTTCTGCCACTTCTTAAAAACAGCAGCTACTTAACAAAACAAAAACACATGTATGAGCTGGA